TACAGAGTTTCAAAAACCTCACATGACCAAAAGATCTAATTTGACAAAGTGATTATTATTCAAATTTATTAATTTAATTCATTAAAATCATAAAAAAATTTATTATTTTATTTACAAAAATTCATTTATATAATATATACAGATTGAGAATCACGATATTTGCGGGGATATATTATCCCACACGATAATGTGATTAATTTGAGTTTCTACAAAGATTCTTAAAATCTCACATGAGACTTAAATATTTATTATAAAATTGATCCTCATACCTGAGAAATCTTATTGATTTACGGTATGAAATCATTTTAATACCTATGGAGATTCTTAAAATCTCACATGATAAATAGATAATCTAAATATTTGTATTTGCAGTTGGTGCATAATATTATGGTTGGCTAAACGATTCATGCGATGAAGACAATGGAAAGAATAGAGAAATAAATTATTTTGACAGTTCACTATTCTTTTGACCTGGGAACACATTCTAAAAAATCTATATTTGGCATGAACTTCTAGCAATAACCACGATAGACATGGCTCCAAACCACAATCAACCTCACAAATTATCAATAATATGTTCATAGGCTCTAGTTTTTTTTTTGTCAGACACCTCTCAGATATGTTCTAAATTCTACATAAAAAATATTTAATTTTTAAATTTTTTTTAATGTCTAAACATACATATGGATTAGTCCACTCCTATCAATATATATATGTTCATCAATAAATCTAGATTAAAAAAGGTGATATGATTTAAATATTACCTTGAGCAACCTGTGATTCTATATATGCATTCTTCAATGCTTTCATCACCTCAACCTCAAGTTTTGAATGTGTTTCTGGTTCTTTGTTGTTAGTAAAAATGTCCTGAACTCGTGACTAAGGGAAGAAGAAAGTGATGATCTCGTTCAGTCCATAAATCCACGTGTGCATGCATGTTTATGTGTTTTCTTCTTCCAGCTCTCTCGGCTTTGTTCAGTCCCCTCGGTGCTCTGTTTTTATTTTTTTAATCTTAGTTTCCTCTCTCCTCCCACTGATGTATTTATGCCTATGCTCCTCTTCTCTTTTTTTTTTAGTGCTTCTCCACCTCTCGGGTAAAAACATCCTGAACTCGTGACTGAGGGAAGAAGAAAGTGATGATCTCGTTCAGTCCATAAACCCACATGTGCATGCATGTTTATGAGTTTTCTTCTTCTAACTCTCTCGGCTCTATTCAGTCCCCTCGATGCTCTTCTCCTTGGTCTCCTGCTCTAGTTTTCTGCTCTATTTTCTCGGTTCCTTCCTCTGTTTCTCATCGAGTTTCAGTCTCTCGCTTGTGTCTTCATTTGTGCTACTGTTTTGTTTTCTTCGTGCTTTCTCACTCTTCCATTTCTGTGCTATGTTTTTCTTCTCTTTTCCTCTCTCGTTCTCGGCTTCTCTCTCTCGATTTTCAACTCTATTTCTCGTGCTCTTTCCTTCCTCCGCTTGCTCTGTTTTTTTCTTCTCTTTTCTTGTGTGCCTCTCCTCCAGTTTTCTTTCTCTACTGTCTGTTTTTTTCTGCATGCATGTTCTATTTTTCATTTTCTTGTCCCTACTCTCTTCTCTTCTTCGCCTCTATTCAAGCTTCTCCCATCTCCTACATTCGGTCACTTCTCTCTGTCCTTCTTCTCCTTTCTTCCTCCTCCTTCCCAGTCTCCTTTTCTTCTTTTTCGGTCTCTCCCGTGCTCTCTCTTATATTCCAGACCAAAGAAAGAAAGAGAAAGCAAATTACCTTGCGTGTGGCCTAAAATCTGCTCTGCACTTTGTTCTTTCGCTCGCGTGTTTGGCAGGCTCTGCTCTACTCTTCTTCCTTGCACGGTCTGGGCTTTGCTCTCCCTTTTCCAGCGCTTCTCTTGGCTGGCTGTGTGTGTGCGTGCTCCTGCTGCTTTTTTTCTGCTTGCCGTCTGACCTTTGTTTATCGTGAAAAGAAATTTTTTTTGGAGTGGGTGATATATCATTTCACCCACCCTCTTATTTTTACTTTTTTTTTTGTTAACTTAATTTTAAAATTAATTTAAAAGAGTTAACTTTTAAAAGTTAATTCTCAGTGTTTAAAATGATGAGAATAATTTAGGAGAGATTTTTTTCTTAAATTTAAGCAAGATTTTTTGTCAGATTATTATATTTTTATTTTTTATTTTTTGGTTATTTTTTAGTGAAGAAATGAGATCCCAACCCACAAAAGATTATCTAAGTTAAAATAGAATTAAACCTATTAATTAAATATTTTTTGATTTTTTTTGAAAATATAATCTGAAAAAGGATTAAATTTTATTTTTATATTTTTATATTTTTTAGTTGAATTTATATTTATTATTAAATAAAAAAATGCCCAGACAAAATACGGTGTTCACAGTAATGTTACACTATTTTAAAATGTTAATTAATAGGGAATATTGCACAAACACAAGTTTAGAATTCCATATGTTATTGGATCTATAATTTAAGAACTAATTTACTACCTAATCCTTAGGAAAAAAAAAAAAAAAGGTTGCCGTAAACAATAGACAACCATAATATTATAGTCACAAAGCATAGGCTATAATTATAAACAACATATTGTAGTTGGACGGCAACAATTTTTGCCTGTCATTGGCGGTCAACAATGTTGTTATGACCGTGTCATTTTCCACTTGCTTCCTTGATTTACAATATCTTTCTAAATAGCATCGACGAATATTCCTTAGGATACTTATCGAGCAAGAAAAGAATATTCCTCGGGATAATGGTATAAAAAAAAAAAAATCATCGTTAACATGATCAAAACCATGTAAATCCTTGGAGCTAGCGGACCATTTGTTTTTGAATAACCGTCATGCTTTAAATATATATTTATATATATATCCTCAATGTCTGGCCAAAAGGAGAAAAAATATATATTTTCAACTTGAAATTTTGAAGTTTAAATTTTTTTATATAATTTACAAATTTTCAATGACCCATGTCGCAGTAACAAGTTGTCTTGTCTTCTTCAAAAATGTAGATAGTCTAATAAATGCGTGTAAAAATATATATTACAAAGCGTCTTTTTTTTTTTTAACAAATATTACAAAGCGTCTTTTTCTAGTTAGGTCTAAGCACTCTGTATGTTTTATACCAGAAGAAAAGTTAAACTATACAAAACTCTCATAAATTTTGAGACACGTATATAAAACTTCTCTTATCTTAAAAGTTTAAAATTACTCTCTCTAAATTTTTTTTTTTTGTTTAGTATAGACTAAATGACATGCAGCAGCTTGTGTTGCGTCGGATACAAGCTAATAATAATATAAAAAATATGAAAACTTTTTTTTATAAATCTATAATTAATTTACACTGGATGCCATATAAACTGTTACATATATGTCTTTTTTTATTATGATATAACTTCTATTAATAAGATAATTAATAAATAGTAGTAGGAGAGTATGTGATAAAAAATAAAAATAAAAAGTTGGGAAGGTTAGTTTTAAATTTTTTTTTTTTTTGAAAAAAGAGCCAGTTATGTGTAATTGTTTTAAAGTTTTGCAAAATTTTGTATTGTTTAACCCAAAAAATGTATATATGAATTTTATAATTAAAATATGTTAGTGCGTTGATTTTTAAAACATAAACACATAATTTCTGTTCGTCATGATTGGGGTCGGTACCATACTGCCAATGGTCCACTCCAGAAAAATATAATCAGTACGCCAAAAAAAAAAAAATTGAGAATATACATGAATATAGATAAATTGGCTAAATGAAAATTTCATTAATATTCTACGTAATGCATGTTTGGTTTCATATTAGATAGAGAGGCTAGTAAAATAATATTTTTGGTGATTTGGCCATCAATGAATAACTTATTAGCTTTTGAGGATTACAAGTTGAATAATTTTATTTATTTGGCTTACTCGTTCTTTGATCACTTTAAAAAATTATGTAATATGTTGGATGTACGTAATTTCATATACCAACATGAAATTTGAGGTGAAGCATACTATTCATGATCCATGATATGTAAATTCTTTATTTTTTAAAAATTGATATATATATATATATATATATTGATTTGTATAATTAATTTTAAAAGAGTTATAATTTTAATTGGCAAGTAAACTTTGCCTTTCTTTTCTAAATTACAAATACCGTAAGCTTTCATTTTTAGTAGGCATTGTTATCCTTTAACATTTAAAATTGTGTTAAACTATAGTTTTATTAAATTCATTGAATCTCTGCTAAAAAAAAAAATAAATTCAATGAACAGTTGTAATTCATTTGCTCTTAATTTACTTTCTCTTATTGTTTAAAAGAAAATCAACCTTAGTTGTCTTAATCTATATCCGTCTTTTAAAACACTGCCAATCAATTAATTTCAGTAATGTCGTCATTTTTTGCCCTATTGCAGAATTCTTTTGTCTACAGTCAAACTTATCTGGAAGCTAAGCAGCCTCATTTTTTTTAACAAAAAAATTCTGAATCTGTAATTAACTTAATTATAACACGGTGTTGCATGTGATGAAATAGTACATGCCAATTTTAATATTTTTCCACAATTGTAAATTGTAATAATTGAATGTCATTTTCCATGGAAAAGAAAAAAAAATTACACGGAAAATGAAATGGTGACAGAGACAATTATAATAAATAACAGTAACAAACGTTCATTATGTTCAATGATTAAAATTAATGAACCTAGCAAGAGACAACAACATTATTGATAATATATTAATAACAAAGAGATAAACACTAAATATGACAACAAAGCAGCACACCAACCCAACAAAATGAACTAACATTCACAATAATGCTTTTGGATTTAAGAATCTTTTATTATAAAACCCTGCATTTAATAATAATTAACGTAACATACATTTTTCCCCCCACCCCCCAACCAACCAAATAATCTCCGCAAATAGAAAGAGATATAGATACGTACAATGGTATGCCCCACCAGATAAATAGGACCCATTATTTTGTGTCTATCTCTTTGAAGTCATTCGAAGTTCGCACAACGAATGTGAACGCAAACTATACGATTCTTGATTATCATGTCCCTCTTGAAACTCTGAGAATTTTACAATAAAATTAAAAACCCTAATAATCATTACCCTTACATTCACATTAATCATCATCAATACATCATATAATTGCCAGAAGCCACGATAGCAGGTTGATTTATCCAGTTAGGGTTGAAGAAGCCACAATCATTGATCATCGCTGCGTCATTAGTGATCCCATCATCAAAGAGATAATTATTGCTTGAGTTGTTGTTTATGTAGCTTATGATCTCATTCAAAGACTCCAACCTATTGGTCAACTCTGCCATCTGAGTCCTCAAGATTGCATTTTCTGCCTCCATGTTCACATAAAGTTGATTGGTGATGCTCAAATTCCTTATAATCTCATGATTCTCCTTCTTCAACTCACCCACCTGCTTTACTAGATCATCCTGATGTTGCTGTTTCTTCATCCTCGATCGGCGTGCCGACTCGCGATTTGATAGCATCCTCTTCCTCTTTTTCTGGTCTATAATGTTCGGGCTGTCAGAAGCGCTGCCACCACCACTCCCACCGGGAGAAGCCATTATTGATGTGCAATAAGTACTAGGGTTTCAGATCTTAAATGACGATGATGTGAGAGATCTATGAGAGAGAGATAATATATATATAGATCTTCTACAAAAATTAATTCCTATGTTGATTGAGTGCTTAAGATGAACGGAAATAAGATCTAGAAAAATAGGGAGAGAGAAATTAAATTAAGATGGGGATGCAGATCGTGAGAAAACGTAGAACCAGTAGAGGAAAACAACAGAGAAAGATTGCATCAAGTGGGTCCTGCGTCTGAGAGAAGAGTTTATCATACAACTAGAGAGAAGGATTTCACAGATTACTGGAGACATATTGACAAGCTTGAATAATGAATTATCTCAAGCATGAATAACAGCAACTGCATATCATCAAGAATGTTGAAGCCCTGAAGATGACGATGAAGAAGAAGATGAAGTGTCAGGTTGAAGGAATGAAAGAGTTATATAACCAAGAAAAAGAGATTTTTAGAGAAGATGGGATTAGAAGACTATGGGCTGATGATGAAGAGACCAATTTGAAGACAAAGAAGAGAGACAAGAGAGATAGAGATTGATTGACCAAAAATATTTCAGAGATAGAGATGAGGAAGAAAGGAAGGAGGTTTTGATGGGATTGAGAGATGGAACTTATAGGAAAAGAATCGCCCATTGGAATGGAAAAACAATAAATTAAATATGCGAATTAAAGTTAAGTATTAATTAATTAATAGAATAAACAAGTAATTTAATCAAAGTCGGAAATGAAGGAAGTAACGTGGAAACAGCCCCACACCGGACAGATCAATGACAGGAGCTGTCTCCTGTGCATGTGCACGCGCATGTTACAATCATTTACTATTCACAGATGACAACTCATGGCCTTTGGATTCTTTCACGCTTGGGATGGGTTAAATATTACTTCTTCATTACAAAACATTATTAGCGGGTCCGGATGCATTGTACGTAGTTTAAAAAAAATAAGAGAGAATTTCATATGAGATCACATATGTAAAATATTTACAAATCAAGTCTAACATAATCTGAAATCTCACATTAAGACATTGGTATGAATCAAAATAAACATATAAAATAAAATGATCAAAATATGTTGCTTTTAGTGTAGGAAAATAGCAATCAAAAATTTCTATATGAAATTTATATTAATTAAAAATAAATTATCGTCAAAACTCAAATAAATTGTTGTTAATTTAAAATTAATTATTGTTAAAATCTGAATATATATTTGATAATAAAAGGCTAACCTGAATTGATAATTATTCATTAAAATTTTGATAACAACTAATTTTTGACTTATATAAATTTCATACAGAAGTCTTTAATTATTATTTTTATAGTTAACTTATGTCTTAAAGAGTAGTTTACAGATTACCTGCAACGTATAAAAAGATATTTAAGTCATTTTATTTTAAAATTTTATTTTAATTCAGATAAAAAATAGTGCAGTGAGATTTCATATCATGTTGGGCCTATTCATAATGCCGTAATTGTGGTTTTCAGATTAAATTCTTCCCAAAAAAGAAAATATTTTTAAGTTACTAGTGGTAGTGAGAATGAGTGGAAGAAACTGTGTATCTTGTAAAATAAAGTCGACAATTCAAACCCTGTAAGAGGGGAAAAACACGTTTATTTTACCAAATATTCCCTCCTGTTTTATGTATAAGTCATCTTTTTAAAAAATATGATAGTTTTTTTATAAGTCATTTCACATTAAAAATATGTCATTAATTTATTTTCAAATTTTAATCTCTATATGATTAGATTAAAAATGTTACATAAGAGAGAAAATTTTTCTTGACAATATCAATAATTTACACACACACACACATCTCTTTAATTTCAGTAAGGTAGTTAAAAATGATTTATATACAAGACATGAGGGATTAATTGCACTAGAAAAAAAAAATTCGAATTGTGGTTTTTCTGGGTTATATTAAGAATATTTGAATTTTAAATTTCTACTCCTTGATCATCTAAGCTAATCATATGCAATACAATATAACTTGATATGATATAAATTTGGCTTTTTATTCTGTCTGTTCTATTTTTTGGGTTATATTTAATAAGTTTCTAACTTTTTTAATTACATATATATATTTTAATAATATATTTTTTCTCACTAACATTTAATAGAATAAAAAATTGTAACAAAAAATTAAAAACATGACTTATAAATATAAAAAAATATTATCTACCTTATAAATAGAACAAAAAGCAGAGTTGATAATTTGGAAAATCCAAATTTATTTGAATTGGACTCAATTTAGGTGAGATTATTCGAATTGGGCTTGAAGTATCTTTAGTATATAGAAAATCCCTATATTACAAAACCCAAATCACCAGGGCTTACTAGCTTATTCGGTTGGTCCAAATGTCAGAATAGTTAAAATTTTATTTTATTTTTTATTTTTATCAAATTTTAATTTTAATTTTAAAAAATTGATATTTTTAATTTTTATATTATTTCATTAATAATAAAAAAATTCAGATATTCAAGCTAAGCTCATTATATTCAAATTCTATCTCGGCCCAATTTTTTTTTAATTTATTCTCGCAGTCCAAATAAGTTAGGAATAAATAAAATATTTTAAACTCAAAAGCTTGGCTCTAAAATTTATTGAGTTTATTTGAGTTGACCTGTTAAATTGGGCCTAAATTATTGTTATACTAATATATTGATATTATAAATTAAATAATTCAATCCGATAATCAAATAAAGAAAGAAAGAAAGAAACGAAAGGCGAATAATTCATGTCGCGACTCTTTTTCTTATGCCATTTATCTTGTCTTTCTTCAATAGAATGATGGATTGAATTAGATTGGGGGGAAAAATCCAACTTGCGTAGTATGGTAGGTATGTTGGCCTATCGTTGGTGGTCTATTATGTTTCTGTCGTTAAGTAATAGTACATTCGTTTCCAACAATTATGTGAATGATGAACGGTCTATATTAAGTAGGAGAAATTTAATATTACTTAAACAAAGTCAAGAACTTGAACTTGAGATTTAAAAATTATATTTAATTTTTGTCAGAAAAAAATGATCATAAAAAAAAAGTTAATATGATAGATTTTGAATATAATTGATTATGGGTTTGTTAGTTTCAGTTTATTTTATAAAAAATTATTTTTAAAAAAAATTTATTATGTGATTTTTCATGAGGTTTGTTTAAACTTTTAAAAAAATCTAGAATTTGAAAGAAAGTAAATTTCTAAAAGCTATTTTAAGTAACTTTTGAAAATAATTTAATGCAGTAGATAAGAGATAGTATTTTAAATAGGAGAAATATGTCATGATATCATAAAATTTAAAAATAATATAATAATAAATTATTCTTATAAAACAAAAATCAATGAAAAAATCATAAAATTTAAAAATAACTAATTAATAATTATTTTTATTATTGTAACTAACCATAAAATAGTGTTTGCTTTTTATTAAATCTTTACAAAATATTTTTTTTATAAAATCTCTAAACTATCTAAAAACTACTTTTTTTAATATTAAATAAATGGGTCCTACGTGCCCAAAACATAATAGATTTTGAATATAATTTTTGCCATAATTTTACCTATTTTCAACTTTGTTTTTCAACTCTTCTTATAATCAATATTATTAATTAATTTTATAAATTAATTATATACCAAATGACATAATAAATTATATTTAAAATTAATAATATTAATTCATTTTTTATGGATATTCAAAGGCACCCTATGAACGTTATATGGTATAATTAGTTTATAAAATTGATTATAAGATTGATTTAAAGTAGAACTGAAAAACAGCTAAAATTATGATTTTATAAAAATATATCCAAGCATTCCATTACATGTGAAAATCAATTAAAAACTCAAGCCATAATTTTCTTAAAAATATTTATATGCTTATTATGCATGTTAAAATCAGATTTGGTTTTGGTGCTCATGATCATGCTCATCACTTGATGAGCATCTAGACCATCTACATTTTATAAAATTTCTTTTTTTTATTTTATATTTATTATCAAAAGTTATAAAATTTTAATAAATTCACTTCATCATTAATATGAACAATATATATTTAATTTGAATGGTCCAACTCAATATTAATTTTTTTTAAATTTTTATAAATTGACTATTTAGATGTACTCTGGATATAGTCTGTCCAGAGTACATCTGGATATTCAATTTATAAAAATAAAAAATATTGAATTGAACTATCCAAATTAAATCTATATTATTCAAATTGATAATAAAATAAATTTATTAAAATTTTACACTTTATATTTTAATAAATATATAATAAAATATAAAAAACTAGTAAATTTAGACCATCCAAATTTTTAATCTGGACGGTCTAGATTGCTCATCAGCTGATGAGCATCAAAACTAAACTTGTTAAAATCAATGATGAATCAAAAATCATGGTTTTCTCATAAATATCCAAACACATTTATATATGTCAAAATCAATTATGAATCTAAAATCATGATTATCTTATAAGTTACCTACTATAAACAGCATACAATGAATTAACACCCCGAGCTCAGGTTGAAATTTAAAGTCAATACAATAGAATGAAGGTTTTCAAAAGTAAAATTTGATGACATGTTAATAGTGATTAGTGACACGTTAATATTTTTGAAAAAGCGAGAGTGATTTTTGGAATAAGTCTTAATGTGAAAATCTAATTATAGGTGAACAAGGTTGTTAAATTTATGAGTTTAAATAAACTTGTGATAGGGATGTAAACTTGAATTATAAACTCATAAGAGTTTACCTCTATTAATAAATAAATTTTAAAAATATATTATTAAATAATTAAATTATAAAATATGACCATAATTTAATCTAAATATATTTTAAATATAAATGATTGAAATTAAATCTATCTACATTCATATATTAATATACTCAACATAAAAATTTTAAAATAGGGTAACTTATTTTTAATTTTTTTATTAATATTAGTTTTTTTTGTTTTGTTTTTTATTGAACTGGGTCTTACCGCTTCTATAAACCAAGTTTTGCACAATATATATATATATATCTTGCTCAACAAGTTTGTGAGTGGACTAACATAATTTTATAAGCTAAAAATATAAAAAGGGTAAATTTGAAGAGTCAATTTGCAAGTTTAATCAAGTTTTACCTAATTTAAATTTATGAGTGAGTTAATACAATTTTATACATTAAAAACGTAAATATAATAAATTTGAAGAATTAACTTGGGACTTTGATAATAATGAAGGTGAATATAAACTGAATTTCCCGGACTCTTTTGGTGTGTTAATTAGCTAGAAGAGTTAATTAGTTAATGCATTAGAATTGAAGCAAAGTGAAAATCAAGTTCTTTAAAGGCAAGATTAACACATGCATTAATTAGCCAAAAGGAATTGATGCAATAAAATTTTGGCAGAGAGAAAAGTTTCCAAGATAAGCTAAACACAAGATTGACAAATTAAATTAAGGATTAATGTGCTTTAATTTTTACAAAATCAACTTAACATGACAACCTCAGTTTTAACATGTAAATATAGAGGTTCACATGTTAAAATCAAATTTTCAAGTGTCAAAACACAATACATTGACACGTTAAATTATTGGGTTG